TTAGATGGCACTCGTACTTTGGTGCAACGGCCCACGTATATAAAATCTTTATATATATCCACTTGTACCCGGATCAGTGATCTCAGTTTCTTACCTTAATTTGTAAATGTACATTTTTCTTAAAAATTGATTGTTTTTTTTTTTTTCTTCGGTGAAGGTTTTATGCTTGTAATCTGGAAGAGTATTTGTCGAATATCAAAATTAAAAGCTGTTTAAGTGCGGTTAGTTTTAAATAACATGGCGGCCATTGATGTTTAATTTGAAACAGGAGACTAGTGGTTGTTGCCATCTAGAGAAACGTAGTCGCAAAACAAAGGTAACCGCTTCATTATATGCAATTAAATCATGCTTATGTGCTTCTGGAATTTGCGATTACTTCGTAATTTTATACAGATATTTGAGTTTTTGTATTTTTGCTTCTCGCGAAGTGAGAACGAATTAATTAAATGAAATACTTTTATAAATTTGTGCATTGACGACAAATACGTTAGTGATCGCGCAGAGTTCGCTAATGATCAACAAAACGAGGTAATTATGAATGCATAATTTAAAATGTTCGACTAGTCTTGGTCTTCAATAAACAACACAATCCTTTTAAAAAACAACTTATTTAATATTCCGTAAGTCATGTGGTGTACACATCAGATTTTTTTTGCTGGTAATAGTTAAATTGAAAGAGATACATACTAAATCATTGTTTACAAGATCACGTTCTCTTCGTAAGAGATGTAATTTCAATTTATAAGGTACGTCTGAAATAGAAAACTAACTGATTGGGAACTTGTTTAACTTTGTTTTAAAGAAAAGTTTGGATTTCTATTTTAAAAGATGCTTTCGTTGAGAACTATCACGGAATTTTGTTTGATTCTTAAATTAATGAATAACTGAATAGGCCACTGATATAGTTAAAATATGTTTAAAAAGATATTATGTTTTTTACAAAATTTTTTACCTGTAAAAAGGAAGTACCGTAATCGCGAAAAGTTTCAGGTGCATATTTAAGAAAATATCCATTTTGACGCTACGAATGCAATTTAGATGTTTTTGCGTGAATCTGTACGTAAGAACAGAATAAAAGACTATTTCCTTCAAAAAAATTATAAAATGCTTTAAAATTAATATGAGAAAATTTTTCGTGGTGTCTGTATGTATGATCTTGCATAACTCAAAAACGAGTACCTCAGAAGTTGAAATTTTGTATAGGGACAGCTATAACATGTAGATGTGACCTCGATTTTGGTGCAATCGGCCACCAAAAGTATATAAATATTATATATATATATCCACTCTGTTACCCGGCTCAGTGATCTCAGTTTTTACTCTTATATGTTTGTAAATTGTACATTTTTTGCTTTAAAAATGATTGAATTATGTTGTTTTTATCTTCCAGTTAAGGTTTTATGCCCTTTAGTAAATCTGTATGCAATAGTTTTAGAATTATCAACAATTTAAAGTGTTTTGTGCCGCTAAGTTTTTTTTTTTATGGCGGCATTTGTTTAATTTGAAACAGCAGACTAGTGGATTTGTTGCCAATCTAGCTTCGCAAAAACAAAGACAACGCCTTCATTGATATCGCCAATTAAATCATGCTTAACTTTCTGAAATTTTTCGAGGAAAAAAGTGTTTAGATTATTCGTAATTTTTAATATAGATATTTGAGATTTTATGTATTTTTGCCTTCTCGCGAGTGAGAATGAATTACTTGAATGAAATACTCAATCGTCTATGAAAACTTTTTTTTTGTTTTTTTTGCTTAATTTTTATACATCATTATAGCTTATTATAGTATTTGAATAGAACAGTGGCAACGATTAGATAATTTTTCTTTAAATGATATAAATTTTGTGCATATGATTAGAATATGAATGAAATATAATCCTGTTAGTGAATCTAGGCCAGAGAGTGTCGCTATGGTAAACAATACTAGAGTGAATTTTAAAGACTGCCATTTATTCATTGTGGTTTATGCGCTGTCGGCGAAGTAGATTTAATCAATATCGTTTAAATGAAATGCAAGAAAAAATGCGTATATTTAATTCCGTACAAGAAGTCATGTGGTGTACACATCAGATTTTTTTTCAGCGAACATGTTTGCGGCCACAAACAGTACAACTACAAAAACATAATTGTGCCTATTCATTTTAGATAAATTTGCAGTTAAAAAGATGAGCAACAGAGGGTAGTCAATCTAGGCGAAAGGTAGTAAGCAAGTGCGTTCTTCAGGGGTCTCAATTCAGTGAGTTAGTTTGGTTTTCAATGCATTTTGATGGATAGTTAATATACGTGAAATACTATGGCTTTTGAGTTTTAGTACCATTTACATCACCAGAATTATGTAAGAGTCATATGACATGGATTAATCTAGAAATGACTCACTGAGACAGAGGTTACTATTTTTAGAGTTGAGAAGGGAAATTTATGTTGCTAATTTAATCTTTTACATATTCTTCCAAACCATGCTTGTTGCATCCATTAAAATTAGAATTTAAATTATCATGTCTTAAGGTGGTGAGTTAACATAAAAACGTAAGGTAAGAAATAGAGTGTAATTTAGTAAAACAAAAAGCAAAATGTTTATACAAAGGCTGTTCGCACATTTTTTACGATTTTGGTAAGGGGTAATAAAAAATCGTTTGCTGCAAAAGAAGTAATTGCAATTGTACTATGTTTTTAAAAGTCAAAATTATCGTCTGTGGCTTGAAAAAGTGTGATATCTAAAGCGTCGGTATTTAATATCATTAACAAGAAAGGAAAAAAAACGTCAAATTGGAGCCTCAAGTGGGACAAAAATTCCAAACAAGTATCCAAGGAAAAAACGTACATCTTCAACTATTGCAAAGGTACGCTGTTTAATGTTAAAAGAAAATCCCCCTAGTCAAAAGACAGTTGCAAAATCATTAAAATGCTCGGTGTCCACTGTAAACAAAATGATAAACGTTGATTTAAATCTTAAGAAAGCGATAAAAGGCAATGTGCATCGTCTTCTTCCAAAGCATATCGCTCAACGCAGGCAGGGGCGTCGTAGCTAAAGGGGGCAAGGGGGCATCTGTCCCCGGGCGCAGAATCCAAGGGGCGCCAAACTGATGTTACGAAATTTTAGAATTAAATGTTTTCCATCCTTGGCAACAGTAGGGGGCGCGAAATCTTCCGTTTTCCTGGGTGCTGAAAACCCTAGCTACGACTCTAAACGTACGACACGCTGCAGAATTCTATACGAGAAACACTTATCCAAAGAAAAATGGAAAACGATTGTCACGATAGATGAAGCATGGGTGTATTTACATGACTGTAACAAAAAAACAAAACAAAAAAAAAATAAATAAAAAGAGCTATTTATTATCATAAAAGGGGAGAAAAAATTTAAGTACATGGTTCAAAGAATCGAAAGAAAGTTTTTCTAAGGGATTCATGATTATTGCTGGTTTTCTTATAATGGCAAGTTAAAAATAAAAAGAATGCAAAAAAATGTCAAGATTAACTCCAAATACTATCAGGCACATATTTTATCGCCAATTTTTCTGAATGAAATACTATCTCTTTACCCACAGTGCCATCAATCTGTGAGACTCCATCATAACAAAGCTAGCAAGCACACATCAAAATCCACTGTAAATTTCCTAAAAGAAATGGAACAAAAAATTGGTATCAAGGCCGTACCCTTCACTGATATCCCTACTATATCTCCCGATGTGTCACCTATGGATTTTAGTGCTTTCGGACTTTTAAAAACTGCATTATCCAAACGTTGTCCCCAAACCCTAACAGGACTCTGGAAAGCTGTTCGGGAGGAATGGGATAGATACCTCTTCTGCCACTTCAAAAGGCGTTATTATCCTGGAAATTGCGGTGTCGAAATATAGTTCAGAATAAGGGATGTCAAATAGAACATTTAAAACACAAGAATTTTATGTAATTTTGTTTTGTGAATACAATATACATCGTCTAAAAAAATGTGTGAACAGCCTTTGTGGTAATAAACATTACAAATTTTCGCAAAAGTGATTAATTAGGGATCTAGAAGATGTCCTAAAGAATGAATAATTTATTGAGGAAATCTTCAACCGTGCGGATCTCAGGTATTCTAGTAGGTAATTTCTTGGTTATATCTCATAGCTGGAGCCCTTTGAATATTTCATTAATTTCTTTCATTACCTTAAAAATCTAAGAAATGGAACTGATATCATTAACTTCGTAGGTAGTGCTTCCGTAATTATTTTGGAGGGTTTGCATATGAACCTGTACCGGATTTCACGAGATGATAAGCTATTTGAGATATGTTCAATTTTTTTATATAACTATTTTCAGTTTGCCATGATTTCATGTCTTCAGTAATTAAATTAGGAAATATAGAAATATGTACTAATTCAGAAGTCAAACAAAAAAATCAGCGTTATATTTTCAAAATTTTCACAAGAGTAGTTTCGATGGTTTTACCGAACCACCATCCTCAGCTGCAAAACCGCAAAATGAAAATATAACGCTGATTTTTGTTGTTTGATTTCTGAATTAGTATTTATTCTGCGTGTTATTGTGTCTTAATTATAGAAATATGTATCAAAATACTGAATTTGCTGCTTTGGTATGCATTGTCTCCATTAATCAGTGCAATTAAAATAATAAAATAAACATTTCATAAATAGCTGCCAAAGTATTACTTTTTGTTATTTTTAATATTGGATGAGAAGAAAACATGTTCAGATTCAAGTAATATTTTCGATTGTGATTTAAAACATACGCATTTTTACTTCCAGAGGAGAATGCTTAATTAGCTTTCGAAATCCTTAGAAGCGCCTTTGTTAAAAATAACGTGAAATAGACCGAAAATACCTAAATTTTGTGAAGGCCTTTTCGCAACGAACGAGCATTTTATTGTGGATAATTTTTACGGAAGCATATAAGTTTAAATTTTTTTTTTACCCCTTTACAGCCATTTTTTTCTTCTTTTTTCATCTTTACGTCATGCATCAGGAAGAAGACAACTTCGAATTCAGCCTCAAAGTTGAAAACTTTTCTTAAAGTTTAGTGCTAACTGGGACTGTATCTAGCAAAAAAAGTCATGGAGTCGAATGTGGTAATTTTGTAGCAAGACCATGCGGAAACAGTAATCTGAAATTGAGTTCACTATGGAAGGCGGTTTAGTAAGTATTTCATCATTTTCTTTTAATTACCTTCATATTTAACTATAAAGATTTTCATTGTTAAAAGTACGAAAGTTATTCTGCATTTGTGTGAACGATACTTAAAGCTGACACAGTGTTAGCCATATTACTGCTTTCTTTGTTTCAGTGAATTAATTTTTTTAAACTTCATAGTTTATTCCCACATCCGTACGTAATAGTATTATTTATGCAGGTTTTGTATTTTGCTTGACTTCTATTTACCTTATGATTAATTTTAGTAAGCAGATAGATGAGTTACTTTACTGTAAACGGGGCATGTTATTTTATGTATTTCTTCTAATTTTTCTTTTAAGAGAAGATTGTAACATGTGATTAGTAACCAAATATGTCATTAAATTTCTAGTTACCTTATCTGTGTATGTGAAATCACTTTTAATAGTTAGCATGTGCCCTCTGTATTTTACTTCCAGGCTATTAAGTTCTCTATGATTGATGTCAGAAGCATCGCGAGTATAATTTTCTAGCCTCTAACCTTGGTATATGGTTTTCTAGATATATTTTTTTAGAGAAGCGCGTTTTCCTGACATATTCTTAAGTAATAGACTAATATTTTCCGTTTATAGAAATATAGCACGTGTGTCTAACATCATTATTAGCGGAAGAAGGAACGACTTATTTATTCAAATGCAGAGAATTATAAACTATTTTATTTTAAGATTTAAACTTAATGGTAGATATTAAAACTAATTTTATTGAATGTTTTCTCGTATTTTACTCATTACTTATCTGTATTAAGGTTAATAATAGATAAACATATTGCTAACGCAGCGGGACAGGTAGTAATTCCTTATATTTACCATTTTCTTTTTGCATTCTATTATGTTCACAGAATATATAAAAATACAAGTTTTTTGTAATATATTTAAGTGGGTATTGTATCCGACAGTTTAAAAATAGAGATTTAATCAAAAGTATAGCATTTGTAATTTTGATTTATATGGAAAAATTTAGAAATAGGAAAATTTCTTCAGTAAAGAGTTAAATACTTTTCCTGATAGAAGAACCGTATGGCCATATAAAACATCCAAGTTCAAAATAATGTTTGAATATGTGTTGGAGCAAAATATTTATCTCCTTAAATTATGACTTTAAATATAATATAAAGAGAGGTGTAGGCATTTATACAATAAGTTTAAAACAGGTTTTCAGTGATGTTGGTATTTCAGTAAGTTCTCAAGATGATCCACATTATGAAAACACAAATGCATAAGAAAAGAACTTTAAATAATAACATGTTTTGTTGATCTTGCAATGGGTTTCAAAAGTTCCTGATCGTCGCCTTAAAGTTTAATTACCTGTAAATGCAATTTTTAGAATGCCAGTTTTGCCATATATTTTTAATAATAATTTTATTTGTATTTACTTGCTATTAGTTTAAAGCAGAACTTCAGTGATTTTAATAAGATGATTAAATATGTGGATTTCAAATCAAATAATTTTTTTAATAAAAGCATTAATTATAATAAATTTATACATTAAAAAGCGGCGTTCGCTGCAGTAAAAATATATTTACGGGTGCATCTTGGTGATTTTTTGCGGAATATGGACACCGAATTTGTACAATTCTTTTTGACTTGTTATTTTGGCTTTGTGTAGCCGCAAATTTTGCGTCGCTACACAAAGCCAAAATGACAAGTCAAAGACAGGAAGTGACGTACCTCAGACAAGTTATCTCTGCCGAAAGTGTGTGTACGGATCCAGTAAAAGTGTCGGCAATTAAAGATTAGAGGTGGCCAAAAAATGTCTATCTACTGAGAAGTTTCCCAGGGCTTTGCACATACTGCAGGAGATTTGTAAAGGACTTTTATTCCATTACAAGATCCCTTCACAAACTGCCAGCAAGCAAGAGTTCTTGTAGGCAAAAGAGTGTGAGGATGCTTTTAACAAACTGAAGGGACCTTTAATATCTGCGACAATCTTGACATATCCTCAGCTTGATAAACCATTTATTCTTCACACGAATGTAAGCATTGAGAGTATTGATGCTGTTTTGTTCCAAGAAATAAACAGTCAAAGTGTTTTAGCATCCTGGAGCAAGTGTTGGTCTAAACCAGAGAGAAATTACTGTGTCACCTGAAAAGAATTGTTCCCCATTGTTAAAGCTATAGAACCTATCCACTATTACCTCTATGGCAGAAAATTCCTGCTTCTCGCAGGGCATGTGTCATTGACCTGGCTGTGAAATTTCAAGAATTTTGAAGCCAAATAATCAGATGGATACAGAGACTGAGAATATGACATTATCCATCATCAGAAAGGATTATCACATGGAAACACCAATTTCTTCTCTAGAAGAAACTGTGCAGAAAGCTGCTAACATTGTTCCAGAGTTGAAGTGAAATATGAACTGGTTAATCTGGTCACACATCAGGTTAGAATTTTAACATCAGCTGGGAGTGATGAAATCATGGAAGAATAGTTAAACCTGTAATTGTGATAGTAGAAGAGTCTTTGGTTAAAGTAGATTGAAGGGTGTCCCTTGTATTATCACGGAAGTTGTTTTATTTATGGTAACCTGAGTAGTTGAATGTTATGGAAACCGTATTATGACATAATCGCTTGCGTGATTGCAGTAAATTTTGAATGATGGGAAAAGATTTGTAAGGGCTTTGTGCATTGCTTGGAAGTAAATTGCTTGTTTTGTGGTGTAGACGGAAGAATGGCTGAATGTGGTAAAATTAATTTGAAGTTTCTGTATGATTTGGAAAGAAAGGAGAAAAGAGATTGATATGTAAATAAATGAAGGTTTGCTTAGTAGCCATTAGGAATGCGTATGGTCAAACGTAAAGATCATTCAGATGGCTTTGCATGGGTTTGTCATAAGAAAAGTTCATGTAAGAAATGCTGGAGGATATTTTTGACTCTTATTTTTGTGAATTTATGTGGTGATGCCGATATACGAATTCTAGTTCAAATAATTTTAGGAAGTTTTTGGATGCTGTTAGAATTTTGTGTGCCACAGACTGAAAATGCAGAAATTTCTAAATAAGGAAGTGGATATTTGCTTTATGTAGTGCTTAGAAGATGAATTTCCTTTTTTTATGTTATTTTATTGTTTGATTTAAAATGCAGTTTATTGAGATCATGTGTTTTTTTGTTTGGCTCTACTGTAGAATTGGGTGCTTCCCTGACTTTTTAAGTGAAAATAGATCGATGTGTACATGGGCAAAGTGCAGGGAGTGCACAATGCCACGTTTGTGCAATTTTCTGATTTTTTGAAAGTGAAAATAGGTCGATGTGTACATGGATACCGAGTTTGTGCAGTTCTTATACTTGTTATATTGTCTTTGTGTAGCAGTGATTTTTTATCAAAGAATTGCACCAGCTCGGTATCCATGTACCTTAAAAAATTGCCAGTTTTCGCCGAGGGGCACCCGTAAATATATTTTTACTGAGTCTTCAAACAGGAAACCTACCTGTCAGGACATTTCAATCTAGAGTTCTATGACAAAACAATATTGGGCTTTCTGGGATTCGTTTTGTATTTGAAGACTCGAGTGCTAAACACACATGGTAACAGGTGCCTGGACCCCTCAGGGGGCTCACTTTTGTGAGTACGGGTGTGGCAATCCCGAGGTACCCTAGCCCTTCAGGGGATCATCTTCTCGGTGAGACGGGTGTCATGATCCTGGAGCCCCAGTGATCTATCCTCTTTTCCGTCTCCTCTCCTCTTGGCTGGAACTTTTTCCCTTCCCTTCTCCCTTGTGGTTTCTCTCTACGGAGTTTGGGGCTCGTCACGAGAGGCTGGGAACAGACCTTGTTTCTAGTTTCGAGTGGCGAGAAAACTGCCCACGTGTTTGCCGTGCGTGGAGACCCGTGTCGCTGGAAAGGAGGGTCCTGGTAGTTGAGGGGCGAGGTACTGTCCCCAACACACTGCTTTGGCCTCTGCTTCAGCTAAACGGGAGGCACCTTAGTCGTCCTCACGGGTGTCAATCGGCTAGTCACTAGTCCTTGTGTCAGTGGCTTGGGGTCAAGCTCTCGGGAGTACCTGCTTTCGGGAAAGCCGACTGTGGGGCTTCAATTTGCGTATAGGTCCGGCTAGCCCTAACACAGGAATCTGTGTTCCCTTGTAGGGCTCCGTTGTGGGCGGGGCCGTCGGACCCGAATTTTTTTCTCTTTCAAATATGGCTTCTTTATTCATTCTAAAAAAAACCGAGTCAAATGAAACGAATAAAGAAATTGAAATTGTTGACAAATCTATTAACAAAAAGATCCGTACAGATGCAAATGACAAAGATACTGAAATTATTGACAAATCCAGTACCAAGAAGATCCAAACCAATGCAAATGCCAAAGAATCTACTGATTGTCCACGCTTCCTTGTTATCTCTAGTCCTTCTGGTGAACTGCAAAAGATGTCTCCTTTTCTCGTAAACAAATATATACATTCATGTATAGGTGAGCCAAGGAACATAAAGCGTCTCTGGTCAGGAGACCTGCTTATTGATACCATGTCGGCCACCCAGTCTGCTTCTCTTTCCGGACAAACCAAATTTGGAGAAATATCTATAACTGTGTCAGCGCACAAAACACTTAATTTTTGTAGAGGTGTGATCTCGGAGATCGACCTTCTGTGTGTTTCAGAAGAAGAGTTCGTCTCCGAGTTAGCTGACCAAAATGTCTGTGGTGCTAGGCGGATCAAGATGCGAAAGGAAGGTAAGTTGATCGATACAAAACACGTGATCCTTACCTTCAACACGCCTGATCTGCCTAAGAATATTAAGGCCGGATATCTAAATCTTCCTGTAAGACCTTATATTCCTAACCCTATGCAATGTTTCCAGTGCCAGCGTTTCGGCCATTCTAAGATGACTTGTCGTGGCAGCCTCACATGTGCCCGATGCTCACAGATGGCCACGATTCCGAAAATTGTACCACTGCGCCTTCGTGTATAAATTGCAAGGGTCAGCACCCAGCATTTTCACGCCTGTGCCCAAAATGGAAATCCGAAAAAGAAG